AGGGTTTAGGGTTTGGGGTGTAGGGTTTAGGGTTTAGGGTTTGGGGTGTAGGGTTTGGGGTTTGGGGTTTGGGCTTTAGGGTTAGGGTTTAGGGTTTAGGGTTTAGGGTTTAGGGTTTAGGGCTAGACCCAAGAGTGTCCTAACTTAAACAAATCCCAGTCTTCTTGGTGGATATTGTGGATATCTTGAAGAGTTCTGGGAAGATCTAGAGTCTCGGGAATCCTTGGCACGCGATACACCGAGTTCAGGCATCAGGGTTTCTTAGCGCCCCATACCCTTAACCCTAAACCCTAAACGCTACACCCTAAACCCTAAACCGTAAACACTAAACCGTAAACCCAGTCCCCTGGGAGGATCCGAAAAGTAGAGCCCCCCGAATAGTGCCCTATACTACTGTTGGGTCATTCTTCGGAACCCTTACGGGCGTCTACCTTCCTTGAGGACAAAGTGAACCCAAACGGGCTCATGGCTCATAAAATAGGAAGTATAGTAGTATAGGGTATATGACCGCAATTTTACGGTTCATTTGGTCCTTGAGGTTCGGATCCTCTCCTGGACCCGGGAGTAACCTAGGCATAGAAAGGGTAGCCTTTTTGGTTTTAAAGGGATTATAAGGAAACCCCAACCCTAAAAAAAGGAAAAAAGGGCCTACTCTGGGTCCCAGCCCTAAACCCTAAACCCTAAACCATAAAAAAAAAAGGTCCTAGTCTCAGGGGGTCTGGGAAGCCCTTGCAGAGGGTCCTGCGCGGTGTCCTGAGCGCAGGTCTGGAGAACAACACATCCGAGATGAGAATTGGTTGAAGCCGGTAAGCTTGCTCTGAAACCCTAACCCCCAAACCCCAAACCCCAAACCCCAAACCCTAAACCCCTAAACCCCTAAACCCGTAAACCCCTAAACCCCTAAACCCCTAAACCCCTAAACCCCTAAACCCCTAAACCCCTAAACCCCTAAGCCCCTAAACCCCTAAACCCCTAAACCCCTAAACCCCTAAACCCCAAACACTAAAGCCTAAACCCTAAACCCTAAAACCCTCAACCCATTCAAAAGCCCCGAGCCCCTGACAAACCCTCAGCCCCAAACCCATTCAGGGAGCATGCCGACCCCAAGTTGTACGGTTAGAACTGTGGGCCTTTTACCACTGTTTACTTGGAGGTTCATGGTACTTATGAACCAATTATAGCTGTACTTATCATTTACTGTACTTCTAGCCATATTAGGGCACTCAAGGGGCCTATAAGTGGGTTCTAAGTACAGTCATAATTGTTTAAGAAGTACCATGAACCTCCAAGTACAGGGGCCGAAGTCTGGGCCCTATTATTATGTAAAGTGTATGTCAGGGCTGTATAACCAGGGATCCAAATTAAGGGCCCCTTACTTGGAAACTTAGAAAGTTCAAGCCGAAGCAAAGCTGACCCAGGTCTCGAGGTTCGCAAGATTGCAGGGTTTAGGGTTTAGGGGGGTCAGAGGGTCTATAGGGTTTAGGGTTTGGGGATTAAGCTCTAAATAGGGTCTAGGGTTTAGGGCTTAGGTTTTGGGGTGCAGAGATCAGGGTTTGGGGATTAGGTTACGCCACGCAGGACCCCCAAAGACTGAATGTAGTACTCTTTACGGATATCATGTTCTATCATCATATGTTTTTACTAGATTATAATATTGTGTTGTATTGTGGTATTAAACTGTATGTACACCTACAATATAACGATATAGAATATATATATATATAATACATACATACATACATACATACATACATACATACATACATACATACATACATACATACATACATACATACATACATACATACATACATACATACATACATACATACATACATACATACAGACATACAGACATACAGACATACAGACATACAGACATACAGACATACAGACATACAGACATACAGACATACAGACACACACACACATATCTCGGCAGGGGTACCTCTTTGGCAGGAGCTTGCAAGGGAAGCGGTTCAGGAGCTTGGGGTTTAGGGTTCGGCGTGCAGGGCTCAAGGTGGCTTTGAGGATGCTAGAGGGTTGAGAGGGTTGAGAGGGTTTAGGGTTTAGGGTTTAGGGTTTAGGGTTTAGGGTTTGGGGTTTCGGGTTTCGGGTTTCGGGTTTGGGACCCAAGGTTGAGAGGCTGAGTCTTTCCAGCTTTGTGCTGATGTTCTGGGTGAATGTTGGAAACTGATATCTTCCACTCACAGGGTCAACCCTAAACCCTAAACCCTAAACCCTAAACCCTAAACCCTAAACCATAAACCATAAACCCTAAACCCAAAGGGGGTGTTCTCAAGAATCTGAGACTCTAGGCATTGGGACTACTTAGGGGGGGGGGGGGGGGGGGGGGTGCCCCTTTGGAGGGAGGTTTGGCCGTGGAGTTTCGCGATGCTCTTTGAGGGCTTAGGTTTGAGGGTTTAGGGTTTATGACTTATGGCCCTAGACCCTAAACCCTTTAGCCTAAACCCTGAACCCTAGCCCTTGCTCTTTAACTGAGGAGCCAGGACCATCTCGAAGAGATGGCGAGCGTTGTCGCGCGCCTGACCAGGGGCTGCGGGGGCAGAACTCCCTAAACCCTAACCCTAAACCCTAAACCCTACACCCTAAACCCTAAACCCGTAAACTTGGGATGTTCCCCCTTATACTAACAGTCCTGAATAGGGATGATAATACGGGGTACTATAGGCCCTATTGAGGACTGTCAGGATAAGGCCCTGAACTCCCAAAACCCTCCTTACGGGTTGCGCAGTGCGAAACCTGAAGCTCCCCCTAAACCCTAAACCCTAAACCCTATAAACCCTAAACCCTAAACCCTAAACCCTATAAACCCTAAACCCTAAACCCCAAAAACCAAGCCCCCAGTCAAACACCTGGCGTCCCGAGTCGGCATTTCACGTACTTAGGGTACCTTGGTTTAGGGTTTATAGGGTTAGACCCAAAAGGGAATACACTAGAGCCCTTTTTTAAAGGGCCGTGGGAACCTAAACCCTAACAAGGGGCATAAGGGCATGAAAGACTGGGGCCTTGGGTTTGCAGTCAGGATTTGGGTTCAGGGGTTCAGGGGTTCAGGGGTTCAGGGGTTCAGGGGTTCAGGGGTTCAGGGGTTCAGGGGTTAGGGCTTAGGGTTTAGGGTTTAGGGTTTAGGGTTTGGGGTCTAGGGCTTAGGGTTTAGGCTTTAGGGTTTAAGGTTTAAGGCTTTGGGATTTGGGGCGGGGAGCAGCTTGTACGGGTCACAAAAGCTGGGTGTCGCAAGCAAAAGGAAGCCACATTGATGCGGCGTGGGTGGTGTTTAGTGTTTAGGGCTTAGGGTTCAGAGTTGCCGTGGAGGCCGTGCAATCTGAACAGATCATGTTTTTTTGTTAACCCTAAACCCTAAACCCTAAACCCTAAACCCTAAACCCTAAACCCTAAACCCTAAACCCTAAACCCTAAACCCTAAATGTTTGCTTGCGTTTGAGGCTTGCGGTTTCTTGCTCGGGCCTTGGCTAGGATGGGCCTTAAAGCCCTCTGGAAAATATTCCTAAAGCCTAAACCCTAAACCCTAACCCTAAACCCAAAAGAGGGAAAGTATGAAATGTCCCAAGGGCCTACCGAGTTGGGGTTGGAGGCTGCCTTCCTGGAAGTTTTACTTCAGGTGCGGGGGTTTAGGGTTTAGGGTTTAGGGTTAGGGTTTAGGGTTTAGGGTTTAGGGTTTAGGGTTTAGGGTTTAGGGTTTAGGGTTTAGGGTTTAGGGTTTGGGGTTTGGGGTTTAGGGTTTAGGGTTTAGGGTTTAGGGTTTAGGGTTTAGGGTTTAGGTTTAGGGTTTAAGGGTTTAAGGGTTTAGGGTTTAGGGTTTAGAGTTTAGGGTTGGGGGTGCAGAAGGCTCACCGGTAACAAGGGCTCTGGGGCTCTCTCATGTCTCTCAGCTACTATTTGCTTAAGAAGCCAGAAAACACAAAGCAACACATCGTACATGACCCTTATACCGAGGAACCTTTTTTGTTCTGTGTTTTGTGGGGTTCTTAAGAAAATAGTAGCAAGGTGACGCTTTAGGGCTGTGGGGGATCCAGTTCGCTTAAGTCACTCTCGAAATCGCCCCAACACCTCAACGCAGCACGCAGTGTGAGGGGGAGGCAGACACGATCTACCCAAGATGGATACAAAACCCTAAGCCCTAAGCCCTGAATCCTAAACACCAAGCCCTACGCCCTAAATCGTAACAAGGGTACTTGCACGACAAGCTCACCTCAAGCCTGGCGGACCCGATCAAGTGGGTTTGGTGCAATTCAAGGCTTACGGCTTGCGCTGAGCTCAGCACCTTGCTATGTCCCTAAACTCTAGACCCTAGACCCTACACCCTACACCCCTCTGAGGCCTACCGAGCCCTCGGGCCTAAACATACAAAAGGGGCGACCCAGCCCAGCAAGGCCTTGAATCCTGCTTGGCTCGCCGCCTGGCTAAACTCCTCACCGGCATGGGGGGGTGTAGGGCTCTCTGTATATATCGGGTTGAGGGCTTATGGCTTATGGTTTATTACGGTGTAGGGTTTGGGTTTTAGGGTTTGGGTTTAGGCTTTAGGGTTTAGGGTTTAGGGTTATTTCTGTATGTGTATTCAGGAACTTGTGAGTTACTGCTGTAAACATTTACACATTAACTTGCGAATTACGAATATTATATATATATATATATATATATATATATATATATGCTACCCCCCCCCCCCCCCCCAGCGCCTAGGTTTTACTGCAAAAAATGAATGTGTGTATCGCAGTAACGTAATGAAGGGTCCTGCCACGCACATGGGCGAAAGAGCAGCAAGCAGTGCAACACAGCTTGCGGCGAAGTGGTGTTGCACAGGTTTTGGGTCTGTAGCAGAGGAGACAGGATTTGCTGCCAGGCAAAACTGCTGTTGTACAGCACTACTACGCAACGAATCCCGAAGGCAGTAATGATATGGAATTTCCTGCGTGATACACCTGCTGCTCCACAGCCAGAGCATGCGACAGTCTAGACTCTTATGCCCTCAGAAACTTGGCCATGTTTTGGGAGCATAGCTTCCGGCACTCTACCCAAAGGTCCTTGCCTCTGTTCCAGTACTCGTATTGCGCCGATCTAAGCTTGGCCCTCAGAAGCTTGCTGCCCGCTTTGGAATGTTGATTGACCTGCACATGCTCCTTGAGGAATCGCCAGCCGCGATCCACGATTTGAGTTCCGGATTTAACCTTCATTGTTCGGCCCTTCTTTCCCGGGATCTGGTGTGTCACTGTCTGCACGTACCTGGGAAGCTGCCACTGCCATTTGCCCTTGACTTTGGCACGTTTCTTGCAGTGCCCGACGCGATCGTGGAGAACACCGGGCACCTTGAGCTTGTAGCTACTGTCGGTATGGAGAATGATCTTCCGGCCCTTCAGGATCTGGTTGGCTATCCACACCACGAACTGCTCCGGGACCAGGGGCGCGTTTCACTGTGATTTTGGGGTTCAACTTTCGCAACACGAGGGTTTCTGGCTTCCCGCGCTGTACGACGCCAAACGCTAACATGGAACCCGCGCGACAAGGTGCAAGGGGGCAAGGAAAGGAGGCAAGGAGGCAAGGAGGCAAGGAGGCAAGGAGGCAAGGAGGCAAGGAGGCAAGGAGGCAAGGAGGCAAGGAGGCAAGGAGGCAAGGAGGCAAGGAGGCAAGGAGGCAAGGAGGCAGGAGGCAGACTTAACTAACATGGAACCCACACGACAAGGGTTGTCGTGTGGGTTCCAGTCTGACCCTGCCGGAAACGCTAACATGGAACCCACACGACAACCTTGTCTTGAGGGTTCCATGTTAGTTAAGTCCCTTGACTAACATGGAACCCACACAGGAGACAAGAGGCAAGAGGCAAGAGGCAAGACTTAACTAACACGGAACCCACACGACAAGGTTGTCGTGTGGGTTCCATGTTGGTTAAGTCTGACCCTGCCGGAAACGCTTGACTAACATGGAACCCAGGGCGAAAGGAGACTGTTGCTGGGAGGACATGCTGGCGCACGCCTCTTGCCTCTTGTCTCCTTCAAGAGGCAAGAGGCAAGAGGCAAGAGGCAAGAGGCAAGAGGCAAGAGGCAAGAGGCAAGAGGCAGACTTGACTAACATGGAACCTAGGGTTTAGGGTTCAGGGTTGATGGTTTAGGGTTGAGGGTTTATGGTTCAGGGTTTAGGATCTAGGGTTTAGGGTTTAGGGTTACTTGCGTGGAGCAGTGCGGCGTCTCCGCACACCAGCCTTCTCGCACGTCAGTGTTTTCGCCCAAGTGGCCCAGGACTCTCCCTGCCCTGGGTGTAGCCAGCAAGAGTAGGTTACAGGCGCCCCCTACTCTAAGGTCTTACTGCTGCAACGTGCGAAAAAGTGAAACATGGTAGTGGGCAAGTTTTGTTTGTACAAGTACTCAACCCTAAGGATCATAGCATCAAGGTTCGTGTGTAAAGTTCCCGCGGTCATCGGCGTGCCTGCTGCTTTCAATTTAGGGTTGGTATCCTCCAACCTCCAGTTCCTCCTACCTCCAAGTTGTCTTGATTCGTCATCGATGAGTGTTCCTGACTTTCACGTACAAGTGAGGGTAAACTTTCAGCACCTCAAGCCTTCAAAGTGCCGTACTGTCCCTAAAAAACCAATCCCAGAAGCAGAAAGTGCCGCGCTGTCCCTAAAAAACCTAAAAAATAAGACCCTCACGAAAAGATTGGTTTGTTAGGGACAGTAGTTCACTTTCAGCGCCTCAGGCCTTCAAAGTGCCGTACCGTCCCTAAAAAAATCAATCTTTGGAAGAGGGCCTGGCTCTATAGGCCACCAGAATTGGTTCTTTAGGTTTTTTAGGGACAGTACGGCATTTTGGGCTTCTGGGATTGGTTTTTTAGGGACAGTACAGCACTTTCAGCACCTCAAGCCTTGAAAGTGCTGTACTGTCCCTAAAAAACCAATCTTTGGAAGAGGGCCTATCTGTATAGGCCACCAGAACTGGTTTTTTAGGTTTTTCAGGGACAGTACAGCATTTCCGGCTTCTGGGATTGTTTTTTTCGGGACGTAAAGCCCTAAACCCTAAACCCTCCAAGAGGCAACTCATCTGAGGCCGGTACCTGAGGCAGGGAAGAAAATGAGACCTAGGTACTGGGGGGGGGGGGTACCATATATGTATATATATATATATATATGCAGATATATATATATATATATGTATATATATATAAATACATACATACAAAAATAATACATATATATATATATATCCATTAAAATGTGAATTTACTAGTACATATGTATAACTTGTTTGTTCAATATTCAGTTCTTCGTTGCGTATTCTTCGTCTTTTCCTTGTGATGTTTGTCTCTTCTCTTGTTGTTTTGTTTTTTTTTTGGGGGGGGGGCATTTGGATTTAGGGTTGAGAATTTAGTGTGGTGCTTCGCTTCTTCAAAGGCCTTGCATCCTCAGCCAAGAGAGCCCGAGGCCCTGAAATTGCTTGAGGAGTGTCCTCAAACTACCTAGGGTTCATTTGGTTTAGGGTTTAGGGTTCAGGTTTTAGGGCTAAGGTTGGGGGTTGAGGGGTCACAGCACTGTCACGCTGCATTTCCTGATTTCAGAAAGAACGCCCCAGAGCCTGTAAACCCTGAAGCCTTCGTTAAGGGGCTCCTAGCGGCTCTGGCGTGCGAGAGGCATTTTTTGGGACAGGGGTGGGTTTAGGGTTTTGAGGTTTCCAGGTTTTCCGGGCGTTTAGGGTGCTTAGGGGTTTTTAGGGTGCCTGCGGTGCTTGGGACTTTTAGGGTTTGGAGTTGTTTAAGGGATTCAAGGGTTTAGGGTTCTTAAGGGAGGGGGGTTCAAGGGTGGTATGTAGCCCAAGGTTCCCTCGTTCTTTTCATGGGCATTTCCCAAAATAGGGGGTATTCCTTTGGAATCAGGAATCCCCTAACAGTGGGACACACAAAGGGCACCCCTATGTTCGCATGATCTGACCCACGCACGATCTGGCTGGCACCCGGCGCTCCTAAACCCTAAACCCTAAACCCTAAACCCCAAACCCTAGACCCTGAACCCTGAACCCTAAACCCTAAACCCTAGAAGCCCTAAACCTTAAACCCTAGAAGGCCTAAACCCTAACCCCCCCCCCCCCCCCCCCCCCCAATCGGCTCCGCCAGAAAGTCCCGGCCAAAATCCTCAGCTTCGATGGGCTTAAGCTGGAATCGGGTCTTGTTACGGTTTAAGGGGGGGATGTAGGCGCGTAAAGCGGTTAAGCGTGCTTTTGATGACTCTTGTGGGATTCCTCATTCTATTGACAGCTTGCTCCTGTTTTTCCCTAAACCCTAGACCCTAGACCCTAAACCTTAAACCCTAAACCCTAGACCCTGAACCCTAAACCCGAAAAAAAGCTATAACACATGAAGCCAGCCTTCGGGCGTTGCTTTGCCATCGCCAGATGTCTGCTGTTCTTTCCAAGGTCCGAGACTTCCGTAAACTCTCAAAAACTTGGAACATCATTCTCCTCATACCCCAAGAGGGTTCCCAAAGGGAATCCCAGCATTCATCGTCCTTAAACCATGGTTTAGGGTTTAGGGTTTAGGGTTGAGGGTTTAGGGTGTAGGATTTAGGGTGTAGGGTTTAGCGTTTAGGGTAAGGGGTGTGAGAGCCCAGATGCTAAGCAAAGCGCGTGGACCGATGCTTCCACACTGCACTTGCACAACTCCGGAGTTTTTTTTGGGGGGGTTTAGTTTTAGGGGAATGAAGGTTTGGGGGTTGGGGATTTGGGTTTTTTTGGGGGGGGTTTAGGGTTTTTGGGGTTTTAGGGTTTGGGGTTTGGGTGTTTGGGGTGAATGTTGGGGTGAATGTCTGTTCAAACTCAGAAGCTAATCAATCTTGCACAGCACTGCGCCCCAGGTCACGACAGACCCATCGCCCAGAACGGCAGCAAAAGCGTGGTCAGATGCTTGGATCTGCTGCACGTCCTTCAGCTGACCTTGTACAGCACTGCTGTCGCCACCAGAACCACGATCGCCCCAGGTCACGACGGACCCAGCGCCCAGAACGGCAGCAAAAGCCCAGGAACTAGCCTGGATCTGCTGCACGTCCTTCAGCTGACCTTGTACAGCAGTGATGTCGCCACCAAAGTCAGCATCGCCCCAAGTCACGACGGACCCATCGCCCAGAATGGCCGCAAAAGCCTGATCAGATGCTTGGATCTGCTGCACGTCCTTCAGCTGACCTTGTGCAGAACTGCTGTCGCCACCGAAGCGAGCATCGCCCCAGGTCACGACAGACCCATCGCCCAGAATGGCCGCAAAAGCCCGATCACACGCTTGGATCTGCTGCACGTCTTTCAGTTGGCATTTTACAGAACTGCTGTCGCCACCAAAGCGAGCATCGCCCCAGGTCACAACAGACCCATCGCCCAGAATGGCTGCAAAAGCCTGATCAGATGCTTGGATTTGCCGCACGTCCTGCAGCTGGCCTTGCACAGAAGTGCTGTCACCACCAAAGTCAGCATCGCCCCATGTCACGACAGACCCATCGCCCAGAATGGCTGCAAATGCCTGATCAGATGCTTGGATTTGCTGCACGTTCTGCAGCTGACCTTGCACAGACCCGCTGTCGCCACCAGAGCCACGATCGCCCCAGGTCACAACAGACCCATCGCCCAGAATAGCAGCAAAAGCGTGGGCCGTAGCCTGGATCTGCTGCACGTCCTTCAGCTTGTCTTGCGCAGCACTTCTGGCCATAGCAAAGTCCGCAGAGCCCCAGGTCACAACAGACCCATCGCCCAGAATTGCAGCAAAAGCCTTTCTGGAAGCTTGAATCTGCTGCACGTCCGTCAGCTGACCTTGCACCGCGCCGCTGGCGCTGTGAAAGCACGCGTTGCCCCAGGTCACAACAGACCCATCGCCCAGAACGGCAGCAAAAGCGTGGTCAGATGCTTGGATCTGCTGCACGTCCTTCAGCTGACCTTGTACAGCACTGCTGTCACCACCCCAGCGAGCGTCGCCCCAGGTCACTACAGATCCATCGCTCCGAATGGCAGCAAAGGCCTGCCGGTTGCAGCAGATGTGCATGCTGCTCATCTGCAAGGTCAGCACGTCCCCACTCTGCAACCTAGACTCCTCAAGCGTGGCTGCCCTAAACCCTAAACCCTAAACCCTAAACCCTAAACCCTAAACCCTAAACCCTAAACCCTAAACCAAGAGCCTGCCTCTGCCCACTGCCAGAGCTTGCTGCGCTCTTCTTTTCAGGTTTTCTACAGTCTCTTGGTTAATATTAATATTAACACAAACAATAATAGAAATTTGGTATAGTTCATTGAGTTTATTAAATAGAGATAAATTATGGGAGACCCTCCTGCCACTCAGCAGGCTCACCTCAATCGCAAGGGGCATGATGTTACGGGGGGAGGGCTACAAAGGATCCCTGCCCTTTTTCCGTTTCTGGAGTTGCAGTCTGTGCTCTAGACACCTTCGGCACCAAATGACACTCTACAGTCGGGATCGCAGTCCCTACTTACTCAGAAGCCCTTGTGACTGAGTAAGTAGGGTAAGGCGGGCAATGGGAAACCCCAAACCCTAAACCCTAAACCCTAAACCCTAGACCCTAAACCCTAAACTTTAAACCCTAAAAAAGACTTGCGATGTCAAAAAAAGGGCTTCCAGGTCGACTTTACGATTGGTCTCTGGACGACCAACTCCCAGACGGGGCCTTTAGGGTTTAGGGTTTAGGGTTTAGGGTTTAGGGTTTAGGGTTTAGGGTTCAGGGTTTAGGGTTTAGGGTTTAGGGTTATGGGCCTGGAGGTTCGGGTTCCCGGGGGTGGGTCTGAAAAAACCATTGAAACTGGCCCTAAGCCCGTCGGGGCTGAAGCTCTCTGCATATGGGTTTAGGGTTTAGGGTTTAGGGTTTAGGGTTTAGGGTTTAGGGGGGGGGGGGGGGGGGGTCAGAGGCTTTGGGGTTTGGAGATGAGGCTTTACAGGGCTTAGGGCTTTCAGGGTTTAGGCCTTGAGTTGGTCCAGCGAGTTAAAAACAGTGCGGGGAGGCATCAAGGAAAAAAAACTCTAGACACATAGTAAGGCTCAGGGTTCAGAGTCTTGGGCTTAAGTAGAAGCCCCTCAAAATCGACCCCCTGCGGCCCCAAACCTACAGGCGCTACAGGCCCTGCGCTGCTTAGAGGAAGAAGGGGGAAGAGAGGTCCCAAGAAGGCTCAGAGATCACGAGCTCTTTCAACTCCAAACGCAGCCACTGAAATCCGATCATTATGAACTCCACCAAGCCTTCTGGCCCATGACATCTCAAGGGGTCCAGGGCCCCAGGCTGCATCCCCGTATCATTGGGTTCAGAAGGATAAGGGGAACAAGGGCGGGACTACACCTAAACCCCTCTAAACCCCTCTAAAC